AGATAAAATGCATAAGGGTGCTTGTTAAATTGGCAAGGCTGTTACACATATTAATTCTTATACACCTTAATCTGAGTTCTCAGGGTCATCCAAGGCCAAGTTGATGATTGATTTGGTGCCCAAATGGGATGGAATCTCAACACATCGGTGTTCAGATATTGGTCTACTTGTTACATGCCTGATTTTCCCACACTAAAGTTATATTGTAAAAGCTGAAGAGAATGTTAAGTGATAATTTGATTTTGCCTATTTTCTTCATAAGGAAGTTATTATTATCTCCATCCCACCCAAGAGCAAGGATGGTCAGGGCCTCTCAAGCTTGTGAAACCAGGGGCAATCTGGACCCGGGTCTGTCTGCTCCTTTGAGGTCTGTGTGCTAGGTGTGGGAACATGCACTAGACTTACCAGAACACCCTTAAAATGGAATCATTTACAGTAACTTAGCACTCTACATAATATGTAAATTCGCAGCACTTCCTGGACTAGCTGTTTCATTTTACCTGTTTTTACTTTTCTTTATTAGCTGTTCAGCAATACTTAACAGGACGGTAGACAATTTGCAACACTCAGAAAATTTCCATATGCTGGGTTTCCCACCCTACTCTAATTTAAGAACAACAACACAATTCTCTTGTGTCTCATTTCACTTGTGAGCATTCAACAGCTATTTTCCTATATGAGAAAAAGAATTACAAAACCAGGGTCTAGAAAGTCGGGTTGATGGGTGCAACAAACCACCATGGCACATGTATACCTATGTAACAAACCTGCACGTTCTGCACATGTACCCCAGAACTTAAAAGTATAACAATAATTTTTAAAAATCAAAAAAAAAAGAAAAAAATGGTTTGAACATTGTTATTTCTTCTGTATTTAAACACTAGTCTTTTCTCAGTGACAACGCACATCCTCCACCTAGCCATGGTAAAGTAAGCAAGCATCATTCACATGGAAAATCCTTCGATCTCTGTATGATACACTTCTCCTTACTGCTACTCTGTTGTCTTCCCTTGACTTTCTCCTTTTGTCCCTTTTCCTCCTCTGTTATGTTCTGTGTCCAAATAGCACCCTAAATCAAAGACAATTTTTGGATCATGCATTGGGGCCCTGTGCATAGAATTTCATGTAAATACAACATTAACCATTGCAAAACAGGAACGTATATCTGCACAAAAAGGCAACATCTAAAAGGTGACTTTTTAATAGGAACTACTAAGAAGCACCTTGCAAATAAGTAGCTGTTTCTCCAACATGAGCTGTTAAAACAATTGAGATCGGAAATCACCATTATGAAAGCATTTCACCTGGGCCATTCAATCCAAGAGTTCAGTCAACTCTAGAAAGCCTAATGACAAGTAATGTGATATAGTAATATATATATATATATATATATAGTTTCAGAATAAACTTATTCTCCTGCCCCATTTCTTCTCAATACACACATACATGTGCACGCGTGCACACACACACACACACACACACACACACATGACCTCCAGGGCCATTGAGTAGTGGGCTACCATGAAATAAATTAATTAGTCTCTCTGGGTCCTGTTGCCTTCATCCATAAAGTGGAGTAATAATTTGAAGGGTTGTATAAGAACTAGAAAGAAGCAAAGTGGCTGGTCTAGCATTCAAAAGGCATAATTAAAATGAAACTATTATTAAAGTTAGTAACAGGGAATATTCCCAACCTAATGGAGCAATTTATGACAAGGAGCTAATCTAGTTAACATGAGCCAATCATTGAAGCAACCCAGTGACCTCATTACCACCCCAAATGCAGCTAAGCAGCACGACTATCTGCAAAGCGAAGGATCATGTGGGTCGTGTGGACCAGTGGCTGCAGCTGTGAAGGCATGCATCCTCTTCCCTGAACCTCTTCCTTCTTCTCTGCACAAGTGGATGACAGACCCCTTTACAGAGCTAGCAGAACATCCAAAGAAGGCAGTAAGGAAACACGAAGTTGAATGCAAAGTAATGTGTCACTAACAGTAGTAATGTGTCACTAACAGTAGAACTAAGACAATGGTGAATAATTCAGTTTAAGATATGGCACCTCCTAAAACATTACAGAGCAGGATGGATCCTGATTGAGGATTTCCCATGCATTGATTGGTTAAATCTTGCATGAAGCAGTAAGTGGGAGTACTTATTTTCTTGGCAACCTCTACTAACTCTGACACTAAGCAATCTGTAGATTCCATCATCAGAAGTATCTAGATTGGAGTTCAGGCATTAACACCATAAACCTCCTTATTACTGGTCAAGCACAGACATGTCACCTGGATTTTGAACATGTCATTTAAAACCTGAGACATCCACAAAGCCAAATGAGAGAAGTAGGGAATGTAACCTTGAGCTGAGGGAGTGCAGCCAGGTGAAGGGAACGTCCTGGAAAATATTCCAGGGAAACATAGAGGCACCAAATATGGAGGAGGGTATGATCTAAGTCATAAGCCCAAAAGTAGGAGCCTGGAGTCCTTGGGGTGATGAGCAGATGCAACCGAGAGTGAGAGATGAAGTCGTTGGGAAGTTCTTGAATTTCAGGCCAATGGGTTTATGTCTAAGGCCCTAATAGCTGCTTGGTCAGAATGTTTGTGTCCCCCCAAATTCACATGTTGAAATATAAACACCAATGTGATGGTATTAAGAGGTAAGGTCTTTGCAAGGTGATAAGGTCATGAGGGTAGAGACTCCAGTAAGATGATCAGTGTCCTTAAAAAGAGGCCCCAGAAAGATGTCCTGCCTCTTCCACCATATGAGGACAGCATGGAGACACCATCTATGAACCAGGATTCTGGCCCTTACCAGACAAGAAATGGGCCGATGCCTTGTATTGGACTATCCAGCCTCCAGAACTGTGAGAAATACATTTCTGTTGTTTATGAACAACCAGCACATATTATTTTATTATAGCAGCCCAAACAGACCAAGACAACTGCATTTTACACAACTTCAGGGTTTCATTCACAGAGCTCTCAAAGAGAATGGAATGTTCTGGAGTTGAGCAGACCACAGTCTTTATGCACATCAGTATGAGGTGGAACTCTCTACAACTTATCCTAGAAACTTGTCACACAGTTTTGAGTCTAAACATTACTTGCTGTCAGAGTTAAAACAGGAGAAATGTTGTCACATACGGTAAAGGCCTTAAAGTGACATAGTAGTCTTATGACTCCTTAAAAACCCATTTGTTATTACTTGATCAACAAACACAGCACTTAGTATAGGGCTTCACATTTAGCAGACGCCCACTGTGTGTTTCCTAAATGAATGAACTAATAAGCAATGAAGTGAATGAAGGAGCAGCTACATATATTCCGGAATAAAGAATGTTCTAGAAAACATGCACAACATGCTACTAACTCAAGACAACTGGATTTGTCCCACTACAGAGTAGATTGGTTTAAATATATCCCCTTGTAATTATATAATCCTTTTATAACCAGCACATATTTTATTATTGTCACATACTGTATAGAGTCATTCCTGTAATTATATAATCCTTTTATAACCACCACATATTTTATTACTGTCACATACTGTATAGAGTCATTCCTGTAGCTGTGTGTTTAACAACTCCCACAGGTCTTTGCTGATACTGTAAACATATTATCTATTACTATTATTTCACCTTGGATTGCTTTCTGTGGATGCATTCCAACAACAACAATAATAATAATGGCTGTTAATTGAATTTTTATTATAGGCAAGACATCGAGCCAGGTGCTTTATACACATCTTCCATAATTGGTATGTGTTAAGGCAAAATTTCTACTATAATTTCACTTTATAGATAAGATATTCTAAATTTGACTAAATTCATATGGCTAAAAAGTGAATGAATAAAGATCCCCACCCAGATCTTCCTACTACCTGCTTTTTCTTTTATCTTCCAATTTGATAAGAATTACTGAGTTAACAGACATAAAAAATATTTTAAGGCACTTGATATAAATTATCTAATTTATCCTGTACTGCAATAGCTCCATGAATTTAATCAACAAACATAGCACTTAGCCATGAATTTGACCTTCAAGGACAGGTAGGAGAATGGTCACTGTATAATTTCATCAGAAGTCATAAATTCACTAGGAACCATGTACAGCATCACTAGAGGTTTATGCGATTCCTGCTCTTTCTTTGGAAGCCCAGTGGTATCTGCTCCCTGTGATCTCAGCAGGATCTTTCTAAATCCTGCAAACAACCATGCCACTTCCCAGTGTCACTCCTGATTCTCCATCCCCTCTACTAGGAAGACCACTGTTGCTAGTTGTATCTATCAACCCCTTCCCAATCTAAATCCAAATCAATCCACTTTGCCAGCCACATGCCTGGCCACTGCCCCAGCTGCCACTGCTGGAACATGGTGCCATTACTAGAAATTTCAGAACATCCCACTCCTTTGCTTTTCCACATTCCTTCCCTCTGCCTGAAATGCCAACAACAAGCTCTTATTCATTTTATTTTATGACTCATAGGACTACTTCAAGGTCTATGAAGACAGGAAATATATTTTTTTTAAATCATTGTATCTTCATATCCAGTATCTGGCACATAGTAGGTTTCAATAAATATTTGCTCTGGATTAGTTTAAGGTAATAAAAATCACATTTTCTGGGAAAACTCCCTGAGGTTCAGGAAAAGTCATTCCTTCCTCCATTCTCCCTTGAGGCCTTGATATTCTAATTGCCACATTGTTACACAATGAAATTATTTGTTTCCCAGTCTTTCTGCGGGGCTAGACCCTGCGCTCTTGGGTGTCAGAAACCAGATCTTACTCATACTTGGATCCCTAACATTCAGCACAGGGCCCGGCTTATAGTAAGCCTTCATATTTCCTGGAATTGAAAATATAATTCTAAAGCAACCATGTGAGGTGAGCAGGGCGGGTGTTATGCTTCTCATCTTACAGATGAAGAAACAGGGACCTAGGGAGAAAAAACAAAGTCTTCACTCAATTTCCATTTGAAATCGGAGTCCCAGCCAGGGCTAGAACACACGTCTCCTAACCCCAATTATTATAAACTCTCTTGGCCACTGCATAGACAAGGCCAGGCACCTCTCTTTCTGACTCAACAGCAGAGGTTGCTTCAAGTCTGTCCCTGACACAGGCCAAGTGTCTTCCTGGGTTAAGACTGGATTAGGGGCCCTGCTCCGTCAGTGGTCATGGTGATCGCCTAGGGAAATAGATCTATTCCTCTGGGATCTGAGATTGAGTCCCAGGCAGGTTTTTGGGGAGTAGGATGGTGAGATGTGCTAGAAGGCACGGGCCACTTTCTAACCTTCCTCTCAACTCTGTGCTGCTGGGTGGCAGCTTTAAAGTCAGTGTCTTCTCCATCTCTGGCCACCTTCCCAAGACTCCTGATCATTAGAGGGACTCTGTTGTCCCAAGTGGACATAATTATAAATAGCTCCCTTCTTTTACTGAAAGTGTCCTACCGTGGGCAATATAAATAATTTAGTCCCCTCCTCCAGTGAAAATTACGCTACACCCTTGCAAAAGCTCAGAGGGCTCCAGGAGTAGCTCCAAGTCCCCTCTCTCAGTTCCTTGGCATTTTTTTTTTTTTTTTTTTTCAAGTTTGTCCTCTACTAGATTGCATCTCGTTCACCGGGATATCTTAGATCATGGCTGGCGTTTGAAGCCTCTGAGTTCGACGCCCTTTCCTCCTGTGTTCCTGTCCAAGACAGCGGACTGCAATCTCCCAAGGAAGTTAAGAATAATTCGGGGAGCGGGACGGGGTCGGGGGTGGGGCGCGGAAAACTGTAGCCTTCACCTGGTTAACAAAGAGGGCCCAGGATGCCCAGCACCCTGGATGGGAGCCAAGAGCACTCCCTGGAGGTGTGGGTGCAAGGTTTTGTCTAGCTTGGGCTCCAAGGCCCTCCGGGCAGTGCCCTGGGAAGGGAAGAATTCGTGATTAAATTTGACCTGAGTCAAAACATGCCTTCAGCTCCTCTTCTGCTGAAAATATTAGAAATCCAAGCCCAGGTTGTGGGGGTCGGGGGCAGGCGGTGTCACCAACTAGAAGCAAGCAATGGATTTCCTTTTAAATGGAGAGAAGGATGTCGGAGAGATAACTACGAAAAAATTCTCGAAACTCCAGGCAGCAATACCGATGCAAGCACATTCTTCCAAAACAGAGAGCAGCTCCTCGTTCTGGGCCACCTCTGAGCCTGGGGTCCGAAGCTCAGAGCCTGCCTGGCTTTCTGGGGAAAAGCACAAGGAGGATGAACGAGCTACGAAGAGCTGGGGCCGGCGCCGCCGGAGTAGCTTTGCGGGAACGGCCCAGGAGTCGCCGCCGGTAACCCCGGCCCAGCCGCCGGCAGCGGGGCGCGCAGTCCGGACCTGGAGTGCAGCGCCCAGGGCCCCGGGCCGCGGAAGGATATTTCACTTTGTTTACCTCCCCGGCCGAGTCACGGAGCTGCGAGGCCGGTGCTGGCGCCCCCGGCCCGGAGCTGCAATGGCAGCGGCGCGGGGAGCCGCCCGAGGACTGGCAGCGGCGGGGCTGATTGATGGGCGGCCGGCGCAATGAGGGGGGCCCGGGCGGGGGCGGGGCGGGGCCGGCTCTGGGCCGAGCCAGTCGCGGGGGCGGCGGGGGGGCGGCGGGGGGGCGGAGGCTCCGTGGAAATGTGTCGGTGACATTGAATGGGGAGACCAAGCGCGAGCGAGGCGCGCGCGCGCACACGCGCACACACGGCCCCGCTCGCTCCGAGATCCCCGGCCACGTAAGTAACTATTAATACCGCCTCGCCGGGGGATGCGGGCGTGCTGAGCGCGGGGATTGGCCTCAGGCACCGTCGGCCGTCCCCTTTAATTTTTAAATACACGGTCCTCGCTTTTCTCTGGGGGGACAAGCAAGAAATCAAAGAAGGAGGAGACGAGCCGTCAATTTTCTCCAAAACAAACCCCGCCGGTCAAATTTGGGCTCGGGGTAGAAAAAGACGGAGTGGTTGCGAATTCTTCCAGACGAAATCCAGTTCTCCAGCGGAGAGGAGCAGCGGATTGCCGCGCGTTGGAAGCGTCGGGGACGCAGCCCCTCTTGCAGCTCCCGCAGGACCCCGCGAGCTCGTGCTGGCGACAGCGGAGACCGCCGATCTGTCCTCGTTCTCGCCTGCACGTCTGGCTGCGCTTGGAGGAAGACCCCGGGCGCGAGCGAGCGGCCGCGGCAGGAGCCGGTGCTGACCTCCGCGCGGCGGGCCGAGCCCAGGGCTTTGTCGCGGTCGCTACCTGCGCGCAGCCCGCGCCGCAACTCTTCGCCCAGCATTTGGCATCTTTTGTTGGCAGCGCTGACCGCTCCAAGTTAAATGCTCCCTCGCTATTTTTCTTTTTTTTGTTTGTTTGTTTAATTTTTGGAGAGCTTGGAATCTTGGAAAAGCCTCAGACGCCATCTACAGTTAAAACGTAGGTAACTGCCCTCTCCCGCACCCCCCCTTCCACGCCCCCCACCCTTTCCACCAAAAAAGGGGGTGCAGCGCGGATTCTGGCTGCCGTGCGTCGCCAGCCGGCAGACCCGTGCTTGTTTCCTTTCTCTTTTTGTTTGGTTTCCAACGCGTTGGGACCGAGCCGCCGCCGTGCGCGCCCCGAAGACTGCACAAACTCCCGCGGGCTCCTCCGCCCCGTCTGCTATTCGGAAGCCGGCCTGGGGGTAGCGTCAGGAGCCCGAGCGCTGCAGCTCCGCACCTTCGCAGCCCGGTTACTCATCCAGACCCACGCTGGGGACACACACACAGAGAAACTAAAAGTGCGGCGATTCTGCACCTCCCCGGCTGCTTTGGGGTAACAAAAGGACCCGAGTTGCCTGCCGACCCTGGACCCCCGGGAGCCAGGCTCGGAGCAGACGAGGTGTCCCGCGGCGGCGCCCAGTTGGGTGCTTTTAACTCTTCTCCGCGCAGCCCCTCTTCTACCCCCTCCCCTCTCGATCCTTTTTAAAACCAGTGGCACCGAGGCGCCTGCAGCCGCACTCGCCGGGACTCATCTCTCCAGCGGGTTTTTTTTGTTTGTTTGTCGTGTGCGGTCCTCACACTCATGAACATACACAGGTCTACCCCCATCACAATAGCGAGATATGGGAGATCGCGGAACAAAACCCAGGATTTCGAAGAGTTGTCGTCTATAAGGTCCGCTGAGCCCAGCCAGAGTTTCAGCCCGAACCTCGGCTCCCCGAGCCCGCCCGAGACTCCGAACTTGTCGCATTGCGTTTCATGCATCGGGAAATACTTATTGTTGGAACCTCTGGAGGGAGACCACGTTTTTCGTGCCGTGCATCTGCACAGCGGAGAGGAGCTGGTGTGCAAGGTAAAGGGCCGGGGGGTTGCTTTTTGTCTTTGGAAGGGGCTGGAGGGGGCTGGAGGGCGCCAGGCCCTGGAGTCTGGGAGAGGGAGATTCGTGGGATTAATTACCGTGGCCATGTTAAATGGGTTTACTTATTTATTTGCTCGGGTTCCGTAAGTTGCGAAGTTTTTAGACCGTTTCAGACAATGGGGCGGGCTGCAGCGGGGGCGTTTCGGGGAGAGCCCGCGGAGGGGAGGGCGGCGGGACTGCGCGGGGGCCACGGACACGCGTGCTCTGGAGGCTCCAGGAGCAGCTCTTTGCGCGAGGCCGCGTCTCGCTGCCCGGGGGGATTTCTTCCCGTGTCTAGTACCCTCCTCTTCCAACAAGGATTAGGGAATCCCCCGGTAATTTTAGGAGTGATGACTTCGTTTCTTTCGCAGCCATTGTTCTTAGCAGCGGGCAGGTGTTAAACCTTTGTTCCGAAGGTGCCCTTTAAAACAGACACACAAAGGTGCCCCCTCCTGCTGATCCCAGGGGCCCAGAGCAGGGAAGGAGTTTACAAAGACCTTTCTTCAGCCTGGAGCCTTGAATGGAGGGTTGGGGTGGAAATCAAAGCCGGCGCACTTTCTGGTGAATAGTGAAAGCTTTGGGTCTTTCTCTCTGGTCTTGGTCTCTCTCCTCATCTCTAGACTTTGCTGCCTGCTCATCCCCCTCTTCCGTTCCCCGCTGAACACACACCTTTGCCTGTAAGGTTAAGAGGGTCCTGTTTGCAGCCCTGGGGATCTGCAGTGCTAACACCGAGATGGACACTTCAGTTTCTTTTTTGTGTCTTTAACCCGGAACAGTGACTGGTTTAATATACATGTGTGTCTGTGTATCTTTGTGTGCACCCACCGGGCCCCAGACAAGTGGATGAGGGGGAAATAGTTGCAAGAAAGAAAATAATTACAATAGAGCATACTACTACCCAGGATTGGACGTAGACCAAGAATTCATTGTCACTTAATTTTAGATTTGCTCACTGTTGTTTTGCGGGGTGGTGGGGGCGAGGGAAGGGGAGAGTGGGGAGTAGGGGATCCATTCTGCCTTTGAAATGGGCACTGGCCACGGTTGTGCCACAAATAACACATCACACTTTTGCCATTCACCACGGTCTACTTTGTGGACTTGCCTTAATTCATAGTGGACTGGAGTATTTCATTGTAAAATTTGGGTTTAGTAGAGATCTCTAGACAGTTTTGCGATTGTTCAGTTCAGACCTTAGGGGGAAATCGGAGACTCTTTAAATGATGGCCTTTGCTTGTACTCAGCATTTGGCATTTTGCATCTTCTCTGAGTTATTGAGACCCAGAGCCACTGTGCCCAGTTAACCAAAATTCAGTAGCTGGATTGGATTCTCAAAAGTCCTGCAAGATTGCACAATAGGATAGTCATCCTTTGAAATGAATGAATTCCACAGAACTGCCACTCTTGTGTGAAATATGCACAATCACCCAGCAGTGAATATTTTCATTCCTTTTGCTCAGCTTCAGTACAGCATTTTAATATTTTTCAAAGGCTGGAAATGCTTTTAAGTATAGGGACTCTGTAGCCAAATTCTGCAGGGGCATCTGGCGGTTACTTCTTTGTTTAAAATCAGAGGTGATTCTGGCCTCTGCTCTTTCTTTCTCCAGATTTTTCAAGACGTATTTTACTTTGGGCTGACCTTACAGTGTCATCTGCAGACTTGCACTCTGGCCTAAAATTGGACTTAATCTGATGGTTTAGTTATTGCAAAGATTGAATCAGCCCTTCAATAGTTACAGTGTGGCTGCAAGTGGATTTAAGTGCAGTGTCATTGTTCTGCTTGACAGAGGTCATCCCTTTAAGACACAGCAGCTTCTGTTTTCCTGACTTTTTACCAAAGATGATGTGGGTGACTTCTTATGCAAGCCTAGTTGTATATATCCTAAGAAGCTCCAAGTGAGTTTTATAAGGCTGCTTCCATGAACTGCTCTGGCAGATATATATGCTGTGGTCTCTTAGCCTACTTTAGGGCTCAGTGAAATCTATACATTGAATCAGTTCCTTATGACATCTTAGAATAGAAGGTTCATGTTTCCTAGCTGTGTGTTGACCAATGAAAAAAATTCTTTGCAAAAACAGATCAAATGTAAAGATGCTATTTATTATAGAGGGCTGCGTAGAGAATTCTATAGGACACTATTTGGAGGAATAGACATTCCAGAGTCATTTCAAGGCTGCTTATTGTCTCCATGTGCCTACTTTTGCTAGACAAATGAATGAAGGAGCCTTTAACTGTGTGTTTTCATGGAAATACTGGTAACTACTGTGCAGACTGACAGTTACTATCTTGGCAGAATGGGTGCTTTCTTTCTTTTCTTTTCTTTTTTTTTTTTTTTTTTTTTTTATTTTTTTTTTTTTTTTTTTTTTTTTTTTTTTTTTTTTATTTTTTTTTTTTTTTTAAAAATGTTATTAATGATGGCCTCATCTTACTGCCTTATCTGAACTGTCACATTACATAACCAAGGCTCCAAATTAAACATGTAAAGAAGCTGGTATCCAGGCTTGTGGCTTGATTTTGCACTTGAAGATGATGGTTTAAATATCAGTCCAAGCCCCTAAATGCCTCTGATAGCTACGAATAAAAGTTTGGCTTCTTCTCATGTGGGAAAACAGAAGCATTCATTTTATTTTTCATATTCTGTCCACCATCTTGGAATTTGGTCTCTTCTACAAAAGATATGGCTACATTTGAAGAGCCACAAATATGTTATTATTATTTTTTTAATTCTGTCTCCATTCAGGTTTTCAGCAGTGGAGCAGAATAATAGACTAAAAGTACTGAGCAAAAGTCACCTTTTATGTTTTGTAAATGCACCTGGAAACAGGAAGTAGACTATATATAATCATAACTCTGTGAGCACTGGCAGCAGAAGCTGCGACATGGTATTTCAGAGCACATCATCCTCATTATATAACGCAGTGTTTACGTTGGCCACTGCAAAGCTTATTACTCCTTGAAATTTTTGAGGCTTCCCTAGGTTTCTGTCGCCTGCAGTGGGATGTTAAAGTTGATTCAAGCATTTCAGATTCCTAATTGAACAGGCCTCTGAGGTCACTGCTCTTAGGTCATTATTTGACAGTATCACTGTGTGATTTGTGGTCTCTGGAGATGTTGCAGTATTCTTTCTTAAATTCTAGGTTATAGTGGCAGCAGCTGTGCCGCTTTTCTGAGATGCCTCATTATGGTTCATTCACAACATTACTGTTAACTCTGCTTCCTCGGCCGGGTTAGCACCAACTCTCTTGAGGTTTTACGTCCCTGTTTGACTCACAGATTTTGTTTCAATTTTTTGAAGCTTAGAGCAACTTAACTCATGGATTCTTAAATAGCAGTCTGTGGCCTTGGATGGGCTTCAGAAAGCCTGTGAATCCCCTTAAACTGAATCCAGAATTGTGCATGCGTTTGAGAATGGGCATCATCAGCTAAGAGGGAACAGAGCTTTTATCAGATTTTATGTGACATCAGAACCCCCAAAAAGGTTAACACTCTTCTAAATCAACATCTTCATTTCGTGAAGAGGAGGGAGGTCCTGTAACCCTAAGCTCTTTATCCATCTCATCCAGATTATTGGTGGCAGGACCAGGATTAGTGCCTCAAGGTTGCCGATTTCCAGGCCAGCGTTTTTCTCACCACACTGCAAAATGATGATCAAAGAAACTATGCTCTAGCTGGTGAAAAAGCGATTTAGGCAGCTGAATGATTGTGAGCTGATAGCATGCAGTGTATCGTCAGGGCGTTCCTGCCTTAGATGCTTTCCAGCGAAGCTCACCCACGCATGCCCCTGGTTCACGCACACACTGAATAGATTCATCTTACCCACATCCCAGGCAGATAGAAAAAACACATTCCAAACTCAGGGACTTGTATTCCTGATTTAGTGGAGGTCTTGAAATGAATGAAAGCGCTTTTTTTAATAACCTCAAAAATTCTCTGTAGTGTTAATTTCTGTGAGGTCTGTTTCAAAAGGTATTGATGGTGCCTTTTCTTTTTAAGCAACCTCGCAGTGAGTTGGCATTTCACAGGCTAATTTTGATTCATAGAAAATCATTGCATAACTGGTTCATTGAGTTAGATATCTGTGGAGGGAAGGGAGGAAGAAGCAAGTCTATTTCCCTATTAAGAAGGATTGTATTGTATTCCTGCCTCTGCCACTGGGGGCTTGAGTTTTGGCTCATTCTCTGAGCCTCAGTTTCTATACCTGTAAAATGAAAGTATTGAATTAGAGACCATTCGGCATCATCTAGCTATTGAATCTCTTAATTGCTCACATGCTATATAATACCTGTTTATGTGCTTTTTTCTTTTTTTTTTTTTTTTTTTTTTTTTTGAAGTACAGTGTTGTTGATGTTATTTGAGGTCACTTTCTCTCCAATTTTGCCTTAGTTCTATAAACATGCAATTGGGCTAGAGAGAAAAATAATAAAACTTATTTATTTGGGTACTGTATTACAATTTACAAAGCACTATCACCTTCATCTTCTCATATAATCCTCCTCACACTGTGAGTCAGGTAGCAGTTACCCAGGTTATACATAAAGATTTGGAGGCTCAGAGAGGTCAAGTGACTTGTTCAGTGCCACACAGCTAGTAGGAGGCAGGGCCAATATGGTCTGGGTCCAAGTTCAGCATATCTTCTGTCATCTCAAAAGCCCATGCCTGTGGGAGGTGCAGGATTCTGTGTTTTGGTTGTACACGAGACACCTCTGACTCTGGTCCTACTCCTAATCCTGTCGTAGGTGTTCGAGATCAGCTGCTACCAGGAATCCCTGGCACCATGCTTCTGCCTGTCTGCTCACAGTAACATCAACCAAATCACTGAAATTCTCCTGGGTGAGACCAAAGCCTATGTGTTCTTTGAGCGAAGCTATGGGGACATGCATTCCTTCGTCCGCACCTGCAAGAAGCTGAGAGAGGAGGAGGCAGCCAGACTGTTCTACCAGATTGCCTCGGCAGTCGCCCACTGCCATGACGGGGGGCTGGTGCTGCGGGACCTCAAGCTGCGGAAATTCATCTTTAAGGATGAAGAAAGGTAGGTCCCAATTCCTATCCAGACCTGGGTACTGTGATGGACTGCTCCTAACAACAGCTTGCTAGAAAAGCCTTGCATGGACATTTTTTAACTGTGGTCCAGGTGAGGGGAAGGAATCTTAGGAGGGCAAAAGGAAGTGAATATTGCAGTTTTCAAGTGTTCTTGGAAAACAAATAGCTACTCTTCTAAAGGTGTCATCCAGTGCTCAAGGGGCAGGGACCAGGCTCTTCTGTGGCCCAATGAACACGTATGATTAGGTGTCATGAATTCCAAAGGTGGCTGCAAACCTTGGCCACATGTTCAATGTAAAGGCAGGGCTTTGAAAATTCTACCTGCAGAACACCCAGCACCTAGGTTCAGTCATTTATAATTCATTTATTCATGCACTAATTCTGTAGCTGTTACCTAAGCTTATATTATGTATTAGTCACAATTCTCAGTACTATTAACATCTAGATGAATTAGATAGCCAATGACCTATAAAGGAAATGTTACCAGCTCAGAATAGAGGTCTGTGCTCGGTGGGATGAGAACTGAGGTGGTGGGGATACGTCAGTTCTGCCTAGGACTTGGAGAATCAAGGAAGGTTTTATAGGAGGGGTGATTTTGGAGCCAAGACTCGAGAGATGACTGTATTACAGGCAATGTGGGGAAGACCACGTTCCAGGTGAGGAAACTGCTGCTGCAAATGCATGGCTCTGCAGAGGTCTTGGTTATTTGAAGAGACAGCTGGACAGGATGCAGGCACCTAGGTTATGCCATTAACTCATTACCTTCCATTTAGCAGACCCTGCTAGGGCCCTGCTTTCTCTCGCAGCCAATTTTGAATATAAGAACTCCTTCAAGCACTTTTTTTTCTTTTTAAGAATATGAGTTTTAGAGGGACGGAAGCAACACATCTACATTCATTGCTCACCCGTAGTTCCAGAATTGTTCAGGAGGCACCATATAACATGGCGACCAGCTCATATCCTGATCTTTGCTTGTGGACACCTTTACCTTTATTAACAAACGGAGAAGGGGCAGCTGTTGGAAGATCTGCAGTGTGGAGCCGCACTTACCTTTCCTCTTCAGCTCACATGCCTCTGCCGGTGGAGCCTGGAGATGTACCCTGGTTTGCCTTTCATACCCTGTGTGATCTTGGTCTGGTCCTTCATCTGACTCCACCCTTCCTCCACCAGCCTCATCTTTCTTGTCCTTCTGTTTCCTCCTGTGTGTTATATTGGCTCTAAGGTCTTTTCAATTTATAACATGGGCTTATGTGCTTCTTTGAATATTCTCATTTGGAAGATGAATGTATGTTGACCACCAACAGAATACTGATGAAAGTATCTTCTTTACCCTTCTGTGTTCCAACTTTATTGGAGATTTCATAACTGCACCTATGAAAGTAAGCGGTAGTATTTGTTGACCTCTTACCGTAAGGTTAAAGTTTAACGGAAGTATCTCTCCCTATTGGGGAAGTATCATCATGTCCATTGTATAGATGACTGCCCTGAAGTGCAGCGTGGTGAAGTCCCAAAGTTACAGACAGGAAAGAACAGAAGTAAGGCCGCATTCACTAGTAAGTCAGCTCTTAAGAAAGTCATTTGTCTGCCAGAGGGCATGATGACAGCAAATGACCTCTCTCGTAGGAATCTGTGTTTTATTTTGTTTTGAGACGAGGTCTTGCACTTGTTCCCCAGGCTGGAGCACAGTGGCGCAATCTCAGCCCACTGTAACCTCTGGCTTACTGGTTTAAGCGATTCTCCTGCTTCAGCCTCCCGAGTAGCTGGGAATACAGGTGCGCACCACCACACTAGGCTAATTTTTTTTTTTTTTTTTTGTATTTTTAGTAGAGATGGGGTTTCACCATGTTCTCGAACTGTTGATCTCAGGTGATCTACCTACCTAAGCCTACTGGGATTACAGGCGTGAGCAACTGCGCCCGGCCAGGGATATGTGTTTTTAAGTGTTGTCTTTGAGATTCCTCCCTTCCATAGGGAGGAACTCTTGGGCACCAAAGAGTATAGAAGGAACAGCGAGTTTGGGGATAGCACCCCCATAGTTAATACATATTTGTGCAAATGAGTAGAGCAGGGGGGAGGTCCCCAAGTCATAGAATATAGGAAAACCTGGAGGTTGCAGAGTCTGTGTGGCACTCTCTTATTTTGCAGCAGGAGGCAGAACTCCAGAGGTGAGAGCACACCCCAGTGTACACAGCTATCTAGGAGCCAGGGAAGAACCGTCTGGTCTCACCAGGGCTGTGGCAGGGCGTTTACTCCCAGCCTTTGCTTCTCCTTTATGATGTGTCACACAGTCAAAATCCTGGATGTCCCAGGACCCAGGGAAGAAGCTTCCAACCTAGGAGTGTGTGTCTCTGACGTTCCATCTGGAAGTTATGTTTGACTTTTGTGAAAGAGCTTGACCCTGTCCAGAGAGAACCAGAAAGGCGTATCCAATGTGAATGTGAAACCAAAACAATCCCCTGGAGTAAACATGCCAAAGCAAAATCCTTTTTTCACTTTAAAGAGTATTTTCCAAGGTAAAAAGAAAATGTAGAGGACTCTAGGGAGCTGGGCTACATAGTCCCTACGGCCTGGTGGCATGTGTAGTAGCCCCTGTGGCCGTGCAGCCCTGTTGCCCCATGGGCAGCCTTGAGGCTTATGCCCTGTAAGAAAGGCTTATGCCCTAGGAGAAAATGATAACTCTTGCATCTGGTCAGTGAGGTTACTGGGCCCCATGGCAGGGTCACCTTGCTTGCTCAAATTAGCACAGCCAGTCTGAGGGTGCAGCTAGCCTAGAAATCCTGTCATTTCCTCTAGAGCTCTTCCTCCAGCTCACGCCGTGTGAGGTCCCAGTGGGCTTGCCTTTCAGGAACATGACAAGTGTCTGTCTGGGCAGCCCTGAGAAGGTCGCTTCTGTTTTCAAGGACATCCTAAGTGTTCTCATCAGTAGTTGACTGATTGATAGGAACTTTTTTGTTTTTTTAAAGCTCAACTATCAACTTTTTGTAAGAGGGGAATCATGCCTACCCACCTTTTTCTTCTGATCGTTTTGTATTTTAACCTCTGGATTCCAGAATGCGAAACTTCTGCTTTTTGTCCTACAACGTAGGTCTCCCTCTCTGCCTCCTTGCAGCATTGTTTCTTGGCAAATTCTCTCTTATTTGGCCTGCCTAGTGGCCTACGTGAAGCACATCACCAGCGCTTCCTGCGGGAAGGGCGTGGGGCCAAGCGCCAGGGGTCCAGGACCTCCTTGGTTCTATGTTTGCTGCTGGTCACCCTCACCTTCCATCCTAATTGCATCCCTTTAAGTGGAGCTAAGGCTTCCTTCTCTCTCAGCAACGTCGAAAGTGTAAGGAAGCAATGGGTTAAATTTTAAAGGCGTTTGGAAAGCTACACCATGGAGTCGATGTCTGTTTTCCAACTTTTTGGGTATTGGTCCCATGAGGAAAAAGCACAGAAGCAAATTTGTGAAGTGCTGCTTTATTCATCTTCTGACCATTTCATTTGGTGTATCAGTCTTCTCCCTCTCAGTGATGGCTTTTCGTACTCGGGTGATCTGGAAAGTGATCAGAAGTGCAGGTTTTACACATGACATTGGCTGAGGTGTGAAACAAGACCTGCCTATGACTCCTCCTGCCTAAAGTTCCGATTGTGCGCCATCCATGGCCATCCGTGGAAACACGCTTAATGGAACTGCCAGCGCCTTCAGTCCTGTCCCCCACTGGTAGCTTTGCAGGCAGACACAGATGATGCCCAATGTTTGGACCCGATGCCAGTGTGCCTTGTGCTGCTGGGTATAAACGGCAGCAGCTCAGAGTCTTCTGTTTCCATTTTACTTTGAGTTTTAGGTTTAACTTCTGGCTCTTGTTAGCTACCTGACCTTGGATAAATCATTGGTTTCTATGCTACGGTTTCCTCCAAACAGAAATAATAATAGCATTCCTATTGGGCAGTTGTGAGGATTAAATGAGATGATTCTGTGAGTCATGGGGCAGGGCACGGGCTCTTTAAGGGACAGCTTTTCCTAGAGTCATTGGTGAAATGTACCATTATGGGAGAGCAGTTCCCATGACTCAGCAGGTTCACGAAGAATGAAGCCGCTCTCTTGGGTAGCCTATTCTGTAAAGAGTGGCACCCTCGTGATATAGGGGTTCAGATTTAGGCCACATCCTCCTCTCTGTTTGGTTTAATTATAATTGTTAAATTGGTGCCAAAGGTCAAGTGCCTCTGGTCCGCAACCTGAGGCTCAGCAAGGCCACATTGACTGTATGTGCTCCGAAGTAGGCACATACTTGTAGGGAATGGAGGATTGCACCCCACCATGCCTGGACCAGCTTCGGTGTTGCAGGCCTTGGACTGCTGCTGCTTCGTTCCCAGGGATGTTTCTGCAGGGCAGAGCCTCAGTTCTTTTTGTTTATACTGCTGCAAAGGAGAACCTCAGGGCCCAGAGGCATTTTGAGGAAGTTAATCGCCAACCCCAGTTGAGCTCACCTGGACACACCCTGTGCAGCCGCAGTTCCTGCGGCGACATCTCAGATGGACTGTGTGTAGATTCAGAGCCCCAGCTTGTAGAGCCCCTGCAGTTTGGGGCTCTGAATCTGATAGAAGGCAGTACCCACATCCCCAAAGTACGTGCCCTGTGCCCTCCGCCTCCCCCTCACCACACTGTGGCATTAGGATGACCTGCTTGATCAGACTATTCTTAGAAGCCCATGTTTCAAGCCCCTCAAATTCCATTTTAATTCATGGGAAGGCCTGAGCTTGGGAAAAGTCCGGTTACTTCTATGTAGAGTCAGAGCTGCTGTCTGGATTCCAGTCCCTGCTCTTGCACTTATCAGGAAAGGACCTTGAGAAGTTACCTAAGCTTTGTGCCCAGACTGCCTCATCTGCAAAGTGGAAATAACAAGACTTACCTCATGGAATTAAATATGTTAACACAAGTGAGCCTGATGCCTGGCACACAGTTAGCCATCAGCGGACCAAAGCTGCTGACTGAAGCCTCCTCTGCACTCA